CTAAATTAAAGGCATTAAATTATACTCAGTAGTTTCACTTAGTATATTTTATTGAAATCTTGATTCTTTGAAAATCTGTGAATCCCTATCAGCATCCCAGCTATGAGGGACAAATGCAAAGAATTTTCATTATTCTATCAGTTCTCTCTTTAGAACCATCCAACATCCCCTGTGAAGGATTTGTATCCCCATTTTAAACAGCGGGAAACTGAAGCTAAGTAAAGCATATAGTAATGAGCAGAAGTTTATGTCTGACTACAAGGCCTATTTTATAATCTTTTTATCTTTATCTTTTAATCTAGGAGCAGACAATTTCACATTAATATAAACCAGTGGTTCTCAACTAAACCAATTTTGCCCCCCATCCCAGTGGATATGTGGCAAAGTTTGGAGACATTTTTGACTGTCACATCTCGGGAAAGAAGAAAGAATGCGACTGGCATCTAGTGGGTAGAGGCCAGGGATGCTGCTCGACATACTACAGCACACAGACTGTTCCTCCCAACAAAGGATCATCCAGTCCAAATGCTACAAGTGGGAAGATCGAAAAACCCTGCACTAAACAAAACATTCCTAAGTGTCTTCTTACAGAGGTATTACTACCTCATTCTGTTTCCTGTAGTCACTGTTTAGAATCAATGAACCATAACTAGCTGTGTATGTACTTAATGCTACTCTTGGAGTATTCAAATTTGAGTTCATGCTCCAAACTGTGAACTGATCACAAACTCTGTGGAGGCTTCAACCCCAAATATTACATTATGCTATATGCTGTCATGTAAATGCACAGAGTGGGGAAAGAGAAGTATGTTTGACATGTTTTCATGAAGTGTGATAGTCTGATCTTTATTCTGTTCAATAAAGGATGCAAGGAGGGGAGGAGAAAAGGAAACCCTGAGGAATAGCATTGTTGAGGTTTTATAACGTAGACATTTCTCAAGAGGCACAATGAAGCCACACGAGGCAGAAAACTGCTTTCTTCATTTTATTTCAAAAGTACACAAGGTCACAAAACTAGAGCAAGTTTTTGTTTTTTTAAAAACAAATTTTGTTCTTACAAATTTCAAAATCTGCACCATTGGATACTTAAGCCAGAAACTTTAAATACAAAATCACTTTTGAAACTGACACTTATCAATTCTCTACTTGCATATGTGAAGTGTCAAAATATTTTTTATCAGTAGTACAGGTGTATTTATCACAAAAGTTCACAGTTAGGAATGAGAGTAAGTGAATAAATTGTGGTTCTCTTAACACTTCCCATTGAATAAATTAGCAGAAAACAGAGTTCTCTGATTGGAGCTTTTGGTGTTCGTGACCAAAGCCAAATCCAACGGACATCATCACACTTTTAAAATTACAAAATAAGGTATTTTTTAAACTTGATTTTAAATAATTTTAAATAATAATTTTAGTAACTTTAATATGAGATTAGATGAAGCAAAATATTTGCTGATATCTATAAGATAAACAGAACCACAATTCACAAATTTATTATTTTTCCCTACTTCTGTAACACTGTAGAATTTGTGCTCAGTTATAGACCTTTTTTAGTGTCAAAACAGGCAAATGAATAAAAAATCCAACTGCAGAATGTGTTGCCTCTATTCCAAGTCCAAAGGCATTTGAAATATTAAAACTTGCCCAGAACATTTATACTACTAAACACATGGCTATTATAAAGATATATGTACATATATATATAATGTCACAAGCCACTAAAAAGTTAAAATTGTGCCAACATTTTCTACAACTACTCCTTACATCAAAGCATTAACCACATAAATTTTTTTTTTTCTGTTCACACTGGAATAAGGCATCTGACAGCCCTAAACACTGTGGAAATTGAAGAGATTAGAAAAAAAAAAAACTTTAAACATTCATAGAACTTCAAATTTACATGCCACACGCACACAAAAAGACAAAACAGTTATTTTAAGAAGTCATACATTATAGAATTTGATATCCAACTTCATGCAGCAAGTTCTTTTTATATTTAATCACGTTTACTTGCCCCTTCACTTGCTCCAAACTTCCAGAACTCAATCTTAAAAATTATTTTTAACAAAAGTCAACTATTTCTTCATATCCGTAATCTAACTGCATTTCTTCATTTAACCCCCCCAGACATACTCAGGCTCTGTTTCCATTTTAACAACTCCATGGTAGATAGCCCAAATTTAAAGGAAGTTATTCGCCTGGAATAACTGGTCAGTGTCTTCAGTAAGAAACTGTGGGGGTTCTCTAACGGGAATACTGCTAAGATTGCCAAAAAGAAAAAGAAAACCGGTAAACTACATATTTAAAGCACAGAACTCATACTCTACACTTTCGTTTCTTCTCAAATGATTCAAATGAAACTGAAAAAGATTGTGTCCAGTCTTTCAAGGGTACAGTAGAATCAACCTGTTTGTCTTCACAGATGCAGTGCCCATCTTGATGGACACTGGCTTTCTGATGGAAACGCACGAATTACAGTTTTTGGCTGAACTGCTTGGTGATTACCAATAGTAAAGAACAAATACCCGATCTCTAGTTCAACTGAATTATCACTGAGAATTATCTGGGAAGTTATCAGTGCCATCCGACTTTTGGATTAGACTGAAATTTACAATGAGAGCAGCTGGAGAACTAAGTCTCAAACTGAATTCTGTCTTTGAAATTTAATCACACCCGGCAAGTCTTTTCATTTTCAGGTCACGCAACTGATGTTTTTACAAGCTCCATTCTCAGGTTGTAGGTGGTATGGACTTTACTTATAGCCAAATCCTACACTAGAAAGTCTTACATGTCCACCTGTTATGGTAATTCCTACTTAGACTGACTGACACTGTATGAAAACTGGTAACAGGAAGGACCAGATTTTTTTTTTTTTTATTAATTGAACTTTGTGATCTGTTATTTATTCTTATACTATCTTATAAGTTTTATCATATAAAACAGGCCAGACATCTGGCATTCAAAAATAGCTACTGTTATAAAACCATAAACACAAAGAGTGTTGGGGGTGTTGAAGTTTTAAAATCTTTATGAATAACACAGTTAAGCTGCACCCAAAAAGAACAGAGAAGAGGAGGCAAGATTCAAAGTATGAAAAGAGAAACGTGTCACAGTGATGTGTTTTTTAGGAACAGTACCTTCACCTCTAAGCACCTTTCAGGTGATAGCTAGCTCATAGGCACCAGAAATTCATAATAAAAATTAAATTACCCAAAGGCACAGATGAAAATGTTAACACAAGTATAAAAGCAATATTATGTAGGGTTAAAAACCTACCTAAAAAAAATGCTTCCAAATATATAAAACTATACACTAATCCATTACACAGACATTCAGCTTAAGTTCACCATTAATTATAAAGTATACACCGTATTCTGCCTAATCTCAAATTCATACCAACATTAATTTATAATATAGCATTTACCACCACAGCACCCAAAGAGATCTACAGAAACCAACTCCCTACCAAAATCTAGGGAAAAGGTTTTAGAGCTAGTGAAATATTTATTGCAAACCTTATTTACTATGAAAGAAAACTGTTGGCTCATTTGACTATATCCACACTCCCTCACAATCTTAAGGGAAATACAAGAAATTCACTTTCTTCTACTACCACAGTATTTAACACATTTGGCAGTTAAGAGTATACCTTTTACTCCTTCTCCTTTCATTTCTTGCTTTTTATTTTCTTAAGAATAAATCACTTTCACAAAACTAAGGCTCATTCTTTTCAAAGCTCACCTTCATTTTCTGCAACTACACAGACATGTTGGCCATACAAGAGCAGCTATGCACCCTCCCAAGTCTGAAATACAGAATTGATGGAGGACACTTACTAGCTTAAAATTATTTCATCTTCTGAGTCTAGAAAGAAAATATCCTCCAGGGACTAAATTCAAGTGGGTAAATTTAGGATTACATGTTTCTAGAACACATAATATGCAATACCAACCACAAAGCTCACCCCCCCACACCCCTGCCAAAAACAACCACACTGAACCAACCAGGTAAAAAATGCTTTTAAATTTGGAACCCATAATTAGGGAATTTCAAACTGTTAATACATGAGCCATAATTTTTGTTAGAAAAATATCTTGTCCGGGGCTAGTATTTAGTTGGAACTGCAAATATTCCATCCTGTTTCTGGCTGGTCATTGTTCTGAAGACCATCACAGGCCTCAAGGCCTTCGGATTACTCCTCAACAAAACCCATACTCACTATTGCACCCCTAACTAGTGTCATTGCTGTATGTAGCTGACAGCAAATTTTCTAAACAAATCAGAGAGATGCTCCATTATTTTAGCATATAAAAGAGCTTACTGCATCCCTGTTGCCTATAGCAGTCTATCAACTAAATAGTTAAGAAATCATTTCATAGACAAGGTTTATGAATGATTCTGAAGTAAAAGTAGCAATTTCTAGAATACTGTACTGTTTTCTATGTTATTAGAAGGATTTCAATCTCATATTTAAATGACTTTTCTAAGAAGCTATAAAAAGAACAAACATAAACGTATCATAAATATTTCTGCCATGAATGTTTCTTTATCAACTTGGAGGGAACTATCTGATCACAAATTGAGAAAAGCAATCTAAAAATAATGGTAGAAAAAAGTAAGTACCACTTTCAGATGATTCAAGTATCAACTCAGAGTGCATGTAAGTTCACCAATTTCTTCACCTATGATTTCATATTCAAAGTGCTATATTTTAAGTATTAATATTTAGAAATCTTATCAAGTCAATCTCCTAAAGGAAATTTTTTTCAGATGGTGAATGTCTTTAGTGACTTCAATGCCCTTACTATTTCAATAACCAAACATAACTTTTATTATTTTTTTTTTCCCCAAACAAAACTTTTTAAAGTATAACTCTCAGTTTCCAGTTAACTTCTTTTTGATCTATTTTGAGGCTGGTAGCAGAATTTAAAACGGAACTGGCTTCCCTATCTGAAGAGAAGGAAAGAGAGATGGAAAGCCTGGATGAAAGCACAGAGGCTCTATACTATAGACCCATCCTTGCTCTGTGCTGGAATCATCACAGGCACCGCTCCCATCCTACTTAGATTAGGGGCCGCTACCTTGGCAGGTGGGAGAGTCGGACTCTGAGGAGTGCGTTCAAAGTCTTCACTTGGTACTTGGTTATACTGAGTCTTGGAATATCCTTCCATGTTGGAAGGAGACATGGATCCCAGGGACGAGTGATTGCTGCCGATGTAGCTCCTGGCAGTGGATGTGCGGCTCTTTGGAGGAGGCACGTCTTCCCTAGAAAGCAAAGATCCCAACACAAGGTCAAAGAACAAGTTTCTAAAAACCTACAGTTATATAAGCTGTGAAAAATGGACAGGAGTGAGAAAAGATCCTCTAAGTATCAGGTATATAAAACTGTGTGTGACACAAATAAAGCAAGCACAGTAAGGTACAATGTCATGAACTGTGTATTTGTCCAAAATCTATCATTTACAGAGTGTATATCTCCACACAAAAATGTAATTTTTACAAAAATGTATGCTTCTATAATGTTGTCTTATAAGGAACAAACCTCAAATATCTTCATGCTCTACTATCACTGATTAAGATAGTCTAGTTAGAATCAGGCAACACATTGTAGTTGATAAAGCACTAACACTCACAGATGTATTTCCACCGGAAAAAAAAGGAAAGAAGGAAAGAAAGAAAAAAAAACCTTTTTGTTATGAAAGTTACTTATCTAAGACCTTAGCTGAAAATTTAGCAGATTTAAATTTGCAAAAGCTGAGCATTTAGGCATAAGAATTTTCACACCAAACACTGACAAAGAACATATATGAGTACCTCTGGTGCAGTTTAAAAATACAAGTGCCCAAGGGCACCCGGGTGGCTCAGTTGGTTAAGCATCAGACTCTTGATTTCAGCTCAGGTCATGATCTCATGGTTGTGGGATCAAGCTGGGTGTGGATGCAGAGACAGAAAGAAAGACAGAAAGGAAGGAAGTCAGGGAGGGAGGGGGGAAAGGAAGAAAAAGAAAAAAAGAAAAAGAAGAATTCAAGTGCCCAGACCCCATGCTAGACCTATCAAAACGTCAATTTATTTCCTGGATGTTATTTAGGTCATGTTATCATGTTTTTAAAAAGTTCTATAACACAATATGCACTTCTAGTTAAGATCTACTGGCTTAGAATGTTAAAAAATAAAATAATATCACATTATCAACAGTACTATAAACTACCTATATCACTTGATACTATCAGGTCTTTCTTTTCAAACCTTACTATCTGTTTTTTTTTTTTTTTTTTTAATTTATTTTTGAGAGACAGAGAGAGATAGAGGGCAAGCAGAGAGAGGGAGACACAGAATCTGATGCACGTTCCAGGCTCTGAGCTGTCAGTACAGAGCCCAACGTGGGACTCAAACTCACGGACCGCGAGATCATGACCTGAGCCGAAGTCGGACGCTTAACCGACTGAGCCACCCAGGCGCCCCTCATTTTTTTTTTTTTTTTTTAAATTTCATGCCTGCACTTACTGGGAGAAGGTTGGCAGTCTAGAGATAAGTATTTTGCAGAGGCCCTTACGATAGGATTCAATATTGGGGCAGAAGGCAGGGCACAATGGAGGTTGGTGGATTCTGCACCCTCGAAATTAAAAGTAAAAGCCTTCAAATGCATTGAGGGGAAGAGCTACAGCTTTTACCCAGTTCTTAAAGTGGTAAATGCTTCAGATGGTTAAGAGAACTCATGCTTTGGAAACCAAGTCAATTTAGTTTATATCACTGAAGGCTTATGTCACTTAATTACCTGATATCATGATGAACTTCCTTTTCATATTTTTCTTCTCTGCGCTTCTTACGACAGCAAAAGACGATAAAGCCAATGAGCACGAGAGCAAGCAAAATCCCTACAACAGCTCCTGCAATTGTCCCAGCTCTGTTTGAAGCTGGAACAAGATGTTAATAAGAAAATAATTAATAGTAACAAAAACCTATATCTAGTCATGTTGAAGGTAAGGATACACACTGACAGAGTTCATAGCATACTTTAAGAGACTAATTAGTTTTTGGTCCAGTGGGAAAATCCACTGAAAGAACTTTTTTCTGAAATGTACAATCTATCTCAAGCATAAAAATTATAAAACTAAAAGATTTTAATATTCACAGCTATCTTGGCAGGCATATAAGAATATTCTAAATAGCTTGTGTTTATAATGGCGAAACATGGTCCGAGAGTCGATTTGACAACTCTTAGCTTCTTAATGTCATTACAGTAATGAAGATCTTATTAATATTGTATTTTTTTTCCTTTCCATGACTTAGAATAGCTAATCACTGAGCCACAGGGTGCTTTGCTAAAAGTTGGCATCCCCTTACCGTTAATACACACTTGCTGACTGAACCAAAGGAAGCTGTATAAAGCCCATGGAAACAAACATCATCACAACAGACAGAAAGAAGGTACTTACGAGGAACGACATCCAGGCGCAGCAGGCACTGATCAGAGCCTACTCTGTTTGTGACCGTACAGCTGTATGTCCCAGAGTACTCAGTGGTGGCATTTTTTACAGATATAACAGGTGAAGTCATTTCTAGGAGGAAAAAAAGGGTGTGTGTGTGTGTGTGGCAAAACCCACTTTTACAATACTGTATTGCTAAATTTTTAGTAAAGGCAAGCCCTTATGAAGCTTGACAACCCAGGTAAAAGTGAGACAAGCTGAGGGGCGCCTGGGTGGCTCAGTTGGTTAAGCACCTGACTTCGGCTCAGGTCATGATCTCGCAGTCCGTGAGTTCGAGCCCCATGTCGGACTCTGTGCTGATAGCTCAGAGCTTGGAACCTGTTTCAGATTCTGTGTCTCCCTCTCTCTCTGACCCTCCCCGGTTCATGCTCTCTGTCTCAAAAATAAATAAACATTAAAAAAATTTTTTTTTTCTGGGGCGCCTGGGTGGCGCAGTCGGTTAAGCGTCCGACTTCAGCCAGGTCACGATCTCGCGGTCCGTGAGTTCGAGCCCCGCGTCGGGCTCTGGGCTGATGGCTCAGAGCCTGGAGCCTGTTTCCGATTCTGTGTCTCCCTCTCTCTCTGCCCCTCGCCCGTTCATGCTCTGTCTCTCTCTGTCCCAAAAATAAATAAACGTTGAAAAAAAAAAAAATTAAAAAAAAAAAAAATTTTTTTTTCTTAAATAAAAATAAAAAAAAAGTGAGACAAGCTAAACCTGGAAACAGAATAAATTGCCAGGGAGACATCTTCAGGTCTCCAGAATGCAAACACAGTTGACTCTTGGACAAGGGGGTGGGAGTTAAGCATTCTGATCCACTGCACAGTTGAAGAACAGGGTATAACTTTGACTCCTCCAAAATGTAACTATAATTAGCCTACTCTTGACTCTGGAAGCCTTACAGTAACAGTCAATTAACACATGTTTTCTAGGTTATGTGTATTATATACCATATTCTTACAAAAGCTAAAAAGAATATGTTACTAAGAAAATCATAAGGAAAATACATTTACAGTATTCTACTGTAAAAAATCCACATACAAATGGACCCGCACAGTTCAAACCTGTGTTGTTCAAGGACCAACTGTAATTGTCCCTCCAGTTCATTTGTATCACCAGTGACAGTAACCACAACTGCCTTAGCCAGGTAAGGTCTCAGCTGAGGCACAGCCACAACAATTATAAAAAAATATTGGGGCATCTGCTGGACTCAGCTGGCAGAGCATGCAACTCTTGATCTCAGGGTGCTGAGTTCAAGTTGGTTAAGCATCCAACTCTTGATTTTGGTTCAGGTCGTGATCTCACAGTTCATGGGATCGAGCCCCATGTAGGGCTCTGCACTGACAGTGTGGATCCTGCTTGGGATTCTCTCCCTCTCTCCCACTGTCTCCCTCTCTGCCCTTTCCCTGGCTCATTTTCTCTCTCTCTCTCTCTCTCTCTCTCTCTCTCTCTCTCTCTCTCAAAATAAATAAATATGTGTGTGTGTGTGTGTGTGTGTGTGTATGAAACAAAATATTATAATATCCTAAGCAGTGAAATCACTATAAAAATATTTTCATTAACATTATATGACACTAAGTTGTCATTATAAAACACTGAATAATTCTCATGGAATCCAGAAAAGGGAAGGTATTTGGGAATTTGAAAATATGTATACATACACACACACCCCTAACCAGACTTAAGTACAAATCAAAGGCACATAGTACAACTGCAAAATCACCAGTACCTGCTAACAATGAGGCGGGCAGTTTCTGTGAGTTGGACAATTTTTGCCATTGGTATTGTAATGGAAGTGAACCTTCTTTTGGTTCACATTTTAGTTTAAAGTCACTTCCAATTTCTTCTGATCCATCAACATAACATCTTGTACCTGAAGGCTTAACTGAGAAAAGAAATGTAACTTCATGTAAGAGAACAGAATTTATGTTTACAAGGATTAAACACACAGCGTGTCGCATAACCACAGACTCATAATCATGTGGTCCTGAGTCCAGAGTTGATGGGACTGAAAGACTGTAATAGATTATCAACACCAGTTTACTCAGCTTTATCCAAAACACAGTAGGCAAGAATGAGCTCAGGCATCCCGGGTGGTAGCTCTGTGCACCCCCCTTTCCAAAGGGCACATCTGAAAAAAGAAAGGACGGTGGTACGAACAGTACGCACTTCAGACTCAAGGAAGCTTCTGCTTCCCTCCACTCCTTACCTATTCTTCTGAACTGTGTGACAGGTAGTTAGCCCTCTGGCAGAATCCACCACATCATATCTCTCAGTGCTGCTACCTCACCAATCGACGGATTTATAATAAACAATGCTGATAATAGGGATACATATGTTTACCAAAGCCAGGACCAATTAACACTGCATTTACATTAACCCCAAACTATCCAGGGTGCAGTGTTATTAAAAGGTAAACCTGACGTTATATTCCAAGTCTCTCTAGGTAACCGTTTAAGCAGCTGCTAAACCCATTACTTTCAACTCACTCCAAACACTGGATTAACACCTTGGATTTCATACTCTTCTGTTGAACTTTTATTATGGCACAATGTACATAAAATAAAATCAACACAATTGAATCTTGTGGGATGATCAGGTTTAATGAATGTATAAGCACCACCATTAAGAACGGGTCCAATCCTTTTCCAAGCAAGTTCCCTCATGTTGAGATCTCATGCCACACCCCAAGCAGCCACTGATCAGATTTCTATCATACTAGAGATTCATTCCACTTCTTATAGAGTCATATAAATGGAATAATACACATTTACCTTTTGTCTTGTTCCTTTTATTCACCGTAAGGCTTTTGAGACTGACCCATGCAGTTGCATATATCAGTAGTTCATTCTTTTTCAATGCTGAGCTTTATCTTTTGATGGACTATAACATAAATTTGCTTATCCATTCACCTTCTAATGAACACTGTTTCCAGCTTTAGGGCCAGTGCTAAAACTCAATCAGCTAAACGGAACAGGAGAGGTGTGTAGTCTGCCACCATCAGGGTGAGTGACCCATAAGGAAGGCACTATAAGGAGCCATAGCAGGTCACTGGGCAAGAGAGGAGGGATTATGAAAGATTCTGAGGACGGTCTGAGAGAAGCGTGTACCTGTTCTAAATCAGATGATGTTTCTGAGCGAGGGTTAGGAGAAGCAGGGATTAAACTGGAGATGAGGGCCATTTAGCAATGGAGTGCCCCAGGAAAAGAGGAGTAGTGCAAAGTGGGGGCATCACGGGGGAGGCCACAGTGGTCTCCAGTTTACTCCTGCCCCACAACCTTGGAAAGTGTGTTCCCTAGGAATTCTGCAGCTGGCTTTTATCGGCATCCGTCTTCCCAGCCTGATAAGCAGCACGACTGCTTTTTTCTTTTTTAGCCTGAGCTCATTTTTATTCTTTCAGTCCTGAATGGGCATTTATTCTTTCACTACTACCAAAATGTAAATGGATTTTACAGTTTTGTGCTATTACAAATGCTGCTTGAATAGTACATAAATATCGATACATGTTTTCTTTTTTCTTGGTAATTTCTGGGTCATACATGGTAAATGCATGTTTAACTCAATAAAAAATGGGCAAATGGTTTTCCAAAGTTGGCCAACAGAATTGTTGGAGGGCATCTTTAAGGTTGTCAATCATGATCTCACTTCACATATTTCTTGATAATCCTTAAATTTGATTTTATTTCTCCACGCCATCTCTTACTGACTGTACTTTTTAATAAGGATCAACACATGCATTTATTTAAATGCACTGATGATTTTCCTAAGAAAATTTGTTTCTTTTTCAGATTGGTCAGTCGCTCTGGGGACTACATCAATTAGACTTTTAATTCAGTCTAATGCAAATCATTTCATCCTGTGAATCTCCACTGAAATGAGCTTTATTCTCCATTTCTTCAAACTACCAAATAAACCTTTTACTACATAAACTAGCAGTAAGTGAGATATTAAAGCAATCCTTTCTACATCAAATATCTATTGGTACCAAGTATTCTAACCCTAATCTTCATCTTTTCTCCTGAAAATATCTCTTTCCCATAAACCAACATATCCAGTAACGGGCAGTTACTTAAAGTGGCTGCCACAGAGCTTGAGATCCATACTCTGTATCAGAATAAGACTTCACCAACACTGGCTTCTGGGTGTCACTCTGGAGTGGTCCGCCTGCTTTCCATTGGGAAGAGAAAGTGCCAAGTCTTTTACATGCTAACCCCAACCATCATACCACAGGGAAGAAAACTCTTAATCCATGGCACTTGGCTATGCTGAAAGAAAGATAAAGAAACCACAAAGGAACACAGAAAAGTCTTGTCTTCTAATGTTTCTTTGGCCTGGAGTTCCAGGACACCTGGCCAATGTCCCCAGAACATTTGCCTCCATGATTATTAGCATAGCCAACAGTCCTTCTCAAGTAAAGGTGCATGTCTATCACCTTGCACTTGGGCAGTGTCTCAAGGTCTACTAGGGCTGTACTCCATATGTCCTGCATCATCACCCCTCCATGCTAGTGGCCTACATCAGTCTATAGGAAGAACACTCGAAATTCCTATATGGGACAGGGTATAATTTATCATCACATCATTCATCCAGGAAAGCTATTTTTGCTTGGTTCAAAATACCAGGCTTCCTGGGCTTAGATCTAGTTTGCAGTAACATGGCTAAACACAAGAAGGTCGAACTATTGGTAAATATGAGAAATAAGCCAGCACACTAAGTACACTGTGGCAAAATCAAGATGAAAGGAAGAGCTGTGAGGACCAGGTACTGTGGCTCCCACATGGAAATGGTAGCCAGTGATTACTGGACCTACAACACCACTTCTGCCATCACAGTAAAGTTTGCCATCACAAGACTAAAGGACTTCAAAGACTAGGAGACCAGGGGTGCCTGGGTGGCTCAGTCAGTTGAGTGTCCGAGTCTTGATTTTGGTTTAGGTCATAATCTCATGGTTCATGAGTTCAAGCCCCATGTCAGGGTCTGCACTGACAGCATGAAGCCTGCTTGGGATTCTCTTTCCCTCCCTCTCTGCACCTCCCCTGCTCACTTGCTCTCTCAAAAATAAACACTATAGAAAAGAAAGATAAAAAGACCAGTAGATCAGTTTCACCATTTGAAACACCGCTAGCCTGTAACAAATGGATTACTTTATGTAACAACAACAAAAATACCGAGTCCAGGTGAAGTCACACATAGAAATCAATGGGCAAAAATCTGAGGAGAAACAAGATATTTGCATAGTCTCAAAAATGGTCCCATGATACATACACATACATACATACATATATGTATGTATGTGTATATATATATATTTTTTTTTAATTACAGATTTTTTAAATTTAATCCATTTTCTATTGGAGAAACTTTTCTATAAAACTAAAATCATTTCAAAGCAAAAAATGGAAAACAAATGCCACACTCCTTACCAATGGATTGCAAATCCCTCAGGCCCCTCAAGGCCAGTGAGCTACTCCACATGCTGGTGCACTATACACATACAGGGAATGACTGGTACTCTACTCTTCAAGACAACCCAGTCTGTTTATACCGAAGGGTCTCATATGCCCTATCAGAGGTCCTATCAGAAGGTGGTAGTGATATCTGACCACCATACTAACCCTCCATCAATTCTCTTTGTTACTGAGCTACATCCACAGGAATTTTGGCATATCTGAAAGAGCTGGGCAGGCTCTGACAATGGGGCAAGCTATAGTAACACATCACCCCTCACACCTAGGCAACTAACAGTCATCCCTGTCCATGTCCACACAGCACATAGGGCTCAAGAGATAAACTCTCGTTATTCTGTGAACACCATGATGGCATCACCTCCAGATTCCTACAAGAAAATCAAGGTATTATATAGTCAAGCCTTCAAGTGAACTGAGCTCCACTGGACTAACACTCAATCTGGTCCCTAGAGGCCTCTTTGTTTTATCTTTCTTCCAGACTATACAAACAGATTTTTCAGGAAAAGCTAACAGATAAGCTTCCATCCAACTCTTTTTTTTTTTTTTAAGTTTATTTATTTAATCTCTACACCCAACATGGGGCTCGAACTCATCAGCCCAAGGATCAAGAGCCACATGCTCTTCTGACTGAGTCAGCCAGGCATCACCGCCCCCCCCACTTTCAAAATTCTGACAGTTTCTCCCAGCAGCAGCCATGACTCATCTGAAAAGATGGAAGAGAAAGTTACAAGAAATTCTCCTCCAGCTCTGAAACAGCCTCTCAAGTCACAGTCATCCCCAATGCCCTTCAGCAATCACTTCCCTTTCTCCTCTTCTCTTCCACTTAACCCGTCTCTCCCTCTCTGGTTTGGATTCACAGCTTGCCTAGCCAAGGTGATCCCCTCCAGAGCTAACAAAGAGAGTTACTGTGTCAATGCTTCTCACTTACCCATCTTGAGGTGTGAGATGCTGGCTTGTGAGGTTCCTGCATGGCAGTCATGGCTGCTGTCACCAATGTGCTTAGCCACATCATGTGCCAACCATTATTACTGACCCAGGTTCCTTCTAGGACATGAGCTGCCTTTTGCTGTAATGATTCCTTAGTCAGGAACTGCAAATTCAATCCAGAACTTGGTCCGATGGGAACATACACACACTCACACACACTGTGCTTATTCACACTGCTTCTGGAAATGTGTGCCAACAAATTCTTCCCAGTGTACCTGCCCACCTCAGGGTCCACGACAAATAATTCCAATAACAAGTACAGTCTGACTGGTACATCATGGACCAGTTAAAATTCCATATATGTCTTAACACAATGCTTTCTGGAGAGCATTGTTAAAAGAAGATACACAATCAGAGTTACAATCCTAAATATACCTGCATCTGGGATAAAAGTTCAGACAAATTATTAAACTTTTACCTGCTTTCACATTTATGAAAAAGAAAGGTAACTCCATGTTTACTAAATGTAGACACAGAAAGCTAGAATTTCCAACATTACCATAGGAAACATTTTGAACTAGTGCCATTTAGGATGAAGTGCCTTTTACCAGGGCCTTGGTGTGCTACTCAAGTGGAAGACTGCCATACCAACCAAAACACCCCTGAATTTGCCACTGGAGTGCACAAAAACCCACATTCTTGTTCCTAGTCTCTACTTGCTGATACTCATTCTTTAGAAAAGAGGGATGTTCTAAATGAGTCTGGAATCCAATACATCAATTTTCCATCCTCCCCATATTGATCAGTTCTCTAAAACAAAAGGAATGAGGATGTGGGAGAGAACTGGCTTGATCAGTTATTTCTAGGGGTGTGCTAGGCAGTTCTAGCAATCCAAAATTCCTACACAAAGTGGGTCTCCAAATGTAACCCAAACCAGGAGACCTTAGGTCACAAAGAAAGGGAATTTCCTGTCATAAAACAGAGCTAGACAGTTGTGGTTTTCTATGTAGTAGCTGTTATACTTTTGTGTAAAGTCTACTGCAGTATTTTAGAAGTGTATTTACGAACAATAACCTTTCAGTTTCTCGATTGGAAGGAATTAGGAGTATTTGTGCACAACCACAGAATCTGGAGAAGAATAAACATTGCAGTCTCTGAAAGTTTACTTATCTCCTTAACTGTCATGGAGACAACAAGACATCTAGTGATCACCTATCTAATCCCTTTACTTTAAGGATGAAAATCAGTGATCCTCAGGGAGGTTAAGTGATTATCTGATGTGTAACGACCTTATCCCAACCTTCTACTATATTTCACTTCTCTGTTCTAAATACTCCAACCATTCATCGTAGAAATCTCACTTACTGAGTTATGTAGTTTGAAAAAAGCTTAAAGTGTCCATAACAAACACTTCTGAACTGAATGGAAAAGGATAGAGATTTAAGGATAATTAAATCCTTTTGTTTCAAAAAGGTAGGCTGAGGCCCAGGAAATGAAGAGATTCCATTTCAGTCTCAAGGCAAATCTGAGAATACAAAACAAAACAAAACAAAACAAAAAAACAAAAACAACAAAAAATCCCTCATCTCCTAATGCCTGGCTTAGGGTTCTTTTTTCATATCACAAAACTCCTTCATTTACTTTTAAACTCTTTCATGAATTTCACAAAGAAGCTAGTCACTCTTATTTTTTTTAATCCAAAAAAGTATGTTAGCTTTATGTTCTATGTTATCTGAGGACATTCGAATTCCTTCAAATGCTCCTACAGAACCATGTTGTACTACCCTCTTAACAAGTACCATTTAAAACAAATAACTTACCAAGAACTGTCAGCTGAATCTTCTTATTTCCAACACCAGGAGCTTTTTTCACTTTGCACTGATATGTGCCAATATCTGACAACTGTAAATTTGTTACATTTATTGATGCATCGCCAGATTTGAGATCATTACTTGTAAAATGCACTCGTCCTTTCAGATCTTGATAGTAGTCATCATAAATTTTGTCTCCAGAATATAAAATAATCTGAAAGAAAATAAGACAGGAGGAAAAATAAACAAGCAAACCAACCCTCTGTCTCACTACAGGAGTTCTGGATATGCCACGGTACTTTCTGCAGATCCAAAAAAATAAACATAAAAACACAGTATTATCAGGAAACCTACAATTACTCAAATCACAGATTTAAAAAACAGATCATGGGTGCCTGGCTGGCTCAGTCAGTGGAGCATGTGACTGCTGATCTCCGGGTTGGAAGTTCGAGCCCCATGGTGGGTGTAGAGATCACTTAGAACAGTTAAACGTCCAACTTTGACTCAGGTCATGATCTCACCGTCTGTGAGTTCGAGCCCCACGTTGGGCTCTGTGCTGACAGCTCAGAGCCTGGAACCTGCTTCGAATTCAGTGTCTCCCTCTCTCTCCATATCTCTCCAGCTCACACTCTGTCTCTCAAAAATAAATTTACGTTAAAAAATTTTTAAAAACCTTAAAAAAGAAAAGAAAACAGAAAGCAACTGATCCTTGAATATGGTCACACACTTTGGCATCAAACTCAAATAATAATCAGAGACCATGACTATAGTCCATATCCAGCAGGTAACTTTTATCTGAGATGTTAACTATGGGCAGTATAATCAGAAATAGTGTCATCTGTAGGAATTTCTTGATGGCAGGGATTTGGATTCTTTTCTGTATTATCACCTCCCCTGTGCAACAGCCATGCTAAGCCCACTACCTTACCCACTAGATGTTTTAACTTACATATTAAATGTCTGTATCTAGGAAGCACTCAGTATCAGTTTGTTAAGTAAGTAAAAGCAACAACTGAAAGATCCACAGCTGACTTGCTCTATAAACACAAACCATCACTGTCTTTGCTGCATCTACTTTTCACACTGACTTGTCAATAGCAACACTGTGAACTCATGAGGCTGTCCTATCTTCCTCTGCATTTAACTGACTCCCTTATTCAATCTACTCCACTCAATCCCTCGTATTTTGTTACAAACGCACCTTAATAGGCCTTAAGGAGCATCTGACAAGGTGTCCTCACTGTTATTTTGTAAACTCTCTTAGTATTTTCCCATGAAAACAATATTACAAGTGGTGGTTATGAAATGAAAAACTAACATTTGCCAGGCAATTTTGATTCCTCTTCACAACTCTGCCAGGGTGGTGCCACTGTCCACATTTAACCCTGAAGCTGAGGAAAGCAGTGGCTCTTAGAGATCAATTTTTGCAAAGTCACACGGCTAAGATGCAAATCAGATCCATTTGACTTGGTACTGACTTTATTAACTTTTTTGTGTCATTTTAAGCTTACAAAATCCTTATGCATATAGTATTTCAGTGAATTCTTATCACAATCCTGAGAGGTATGTGTATTTGTTGCTATTTCACACATGAGGACAGAGGCTTATGAAATGTGGGAGGCAGTACAGGATAGTGCAAAGGAGAATAAGGCACAAGAGGGGAGTGAGAGAGACCTGAGTTTAAACCCCAACAGCTCTGTTGCTAGCTGTGTACCCCTGGGCATGTTCCTTCAAATTTCTGGACATCCATTTCCTCTTCTTCACATGTGTAATGATTCTCATTTAGGGTGTTGTTTTAAGGCTTAAATAAGTATATGTAATTGAACTATATACAACACTGCCCAGCACACAGTAAGTGCACAGGACATGGTAACTGTTTGCAGACAAAAATCATACAAGAAACAAGGATGGTAACTTCTCCAGTCCAGTCCCCCACCATAGTGACTACTAATTTAACTGAAGTAAATAATGGCTCAGCTAACATATAATGTAACTGAAATTCTCTATCAGCATCCTCTTTTGCATCAATCTTTTCCTGTCCCTTTTACCTATCTTTTGGTTTGATTTTACTGTGTTTTAGGTTAGAGGCCAGGTTTCTAAACCCAGAAATGGACACTTAAACCCAGTCTCTAGTCTCATACTTGTCTCAAAAGTCCGTAGGTGACAAAGCTGTGCCTCCCACTCTCAGCACAGAAGACTTTGGGTCCTCCTTTCACAAAATACTGTGCTTCCTGGTCTCTAGATGTACCTTGTCACACAGCTTAACACCTGAGTCCTAAGCCAGAAGCACTGAAGACCCATGCTTTCCATTCATTCATGTGAACTGGGGGAGCGGTCATGGGCTCTAAGGGGAGATGGCCTCTGCACTGGCTAGGGTGTGAGGAGTACACAGAACCTCAGGTAGAAAGAAGCCTGTGTTCGGGGTGCTGGCACTGACATGGAAGGAGAGACAAGGGACAGCAGAGCAAGACAGGGAGGTGCAGGATTTCTGGGATGAGCAGACAAAATGAGTTAGGCTCTATTTTGCTTAGGGAGATAGAAGGAAGTTGCGGTAGCAGAATCAGGGCAGAAGTATGTGCTTGGAGGGGGTGGCCCTAGTCGTTCACAACCTGGGAAAGACGTTCATTTTTTTCCTTCAGAAATACATCATGGGAAACCTGCGTGAAATTGCCAAAAACAGTAAGTATTTCACTGCACTGATACAGTCGTTAAATGGCTTAATAACCCCTTCTTTTAGATGGACCATAAATAAAAATAAATTTTCTCTTCCAAATGTATGTTACTATATTCCTCTAAATATTTACATTTATTTTTCTCTCCCTGGTCTAATAAAATGTTATTTTTAAGAATTAAATGTGTCACTGGGAGCCTGGCTGGCTTGCCCAGTAGAGTGTACAACTCTTGATCTTGGGGTTGTGAGTTTAAATCCCATGCTGGGGGTAGAGATTACTTTTAAGAAATAATAAAACCTTTAAACAAAATTAAGAGAATAAATAAAATTAAATGTGTCAGACAAAGCTAATAGGCAACATCCTAAGTTAGCTGAAATATTTTGGTACCATTAAAAGGCAAAGTGTGATATATGTATTTGGAAATTAGATTATTGGGCAATTTCCCTCCTTTGTGCCACTTCTGGATTTCTAGGTTTTCTACATTAGGCTCTTAATACTTTATAATCAGAAAAAACTTCTATAGGGGAGCCTGGGTGGCTCAGTTAATTAAGTATCCGACTTTGGCTCAGGATCTTGCAGTCCATGAGTTGGAGCCCCACGTCCAGCTCTGTGCTCACAGCTCAGAGCCCGGTGCCTGCTTCAGATTCTGTGTCTCCCTCTCTCTCTGCCCCTCCCCCGCTTACGCTTTGTCTCCTCTTTCTCCCTCTCAAAAATAAACTTTAAAAAAAAATTTTTTTAAAGAAAAACTTCTATAACAATATTTTGCTATTTAATTTTTTTAATGTAAAATTAGATATTTTATAAATTGTTCTGGTATGAAGGCTTTGCTTTCTAAGAAATTCATTACACAGGGTATTTAACTTGAAGAATACAGAAAACAGACTCTGTCATAATATGTACCTACATTACATTGTTACACACGGTGACCCTTACACAGGTAAGAGAATCCTTGTGTTAAAAACTGAATTCCAGGGGTGCCTGGCGGCTCAGTCACTTGAGGGTCTGCCTTTGGCTCAGGTCATGATCTCACAGTCTGTGAGTTCAAGCTGCACGTCGGGCTCTGTGCTGATAGCTCAGAGCCTGGAGCCTGCTTCATATTCTGTGCCTCCCTCTCTCTGCCCCTCCCCTGCTTGTGCTCTGTCTCTCTCTCTCAAAAAAATAAACATTAAAACAACAATAACAACACTGAATTCTAAAAAGAACAAAAACAAAAAACTGAATTCCATCCAATTCTTCACAAAGTCTAGTTTCCTCGTGGTCCCCTGGCACATTATGCATATTCCTGCCATGCATCATGCCTGCTCCATACGCTCCTCCTCCCACCATGCTGTGGCTCACACTTCGAACTCCAGATTTCAGAACATTCCTAAGTTCCTCTTCTTCCTTAAAGCTTTCTCTAAAAAGCTTAGGCCACTTGTTATCCATTTCACTCCATTACACATGTCCTCACTTTCTGCCAGAGTGACTGCTTTCCTCCCCCATATCACAAGAGAGAGAAGTCTGGGCTTTCCTCATAGCTCCCCCTATCCCCACCCCCGTCCATGGGATCGGCATAGGGATGGACACTTAAGACAAGTTCTAGACTTCTGGTGGGTGAGCAAGCACTTAGCAAACTTACCACTTGATCCACCTTCTGATTATCAGCCGGTGATAACAGCCACTCGATGTCCAGTGGTCCCTGGTCTTCTGGACTAACGGTAAATTTGCAGGGCAAATAAGCAGTTTCCCCTTTGGCCTTTTCAATCATCTGATCAGGAGTAGTGATACTTAAACTTCTGGTGAAATCTGGAGAAAGAAACATGCACATGGACTAAGCATCTGCTGTTAGGCTGGTAGCATGCTCAGCACACCCCAGCTGTTCAAGAGTACAGGCTGTGATTTGGGACCAGAGTGAGGAGGTCCAAACACAGTGGTCCCCAGTTTTTAGCTTGTGCCTTGTAGAAATGGAATGCCAATATTAATAACATCTCGTTTGATACAATTTCCTTTAAGGGCACTGTGAATCTCCCAACATTATGTGCAATACAAGTTTCTATTGGTAGAGGGTATTCTATATCCAAGTAGATGTTTTAAAAGTAAACTTAACTACAGTCTCTAAAAGGTCAATGATATCATACCAGCTCAGGCTACATTAATTCAAACTTGTCACAGTGCCACAGACACACTGGGAACTCTTGCTGCTGGGGCACATGCTGATGAATTGTGACATGTTTTCCACCAAGGCTTCTTCAATTCTAAATTTTTATTAAATTAGGGGTGCCTGGCTGGCTCAGTCAGTAGAACATGTGCTCTTAATCTCTGGTTATGAGTTCAAGCCCCACAATGGGCACAGAGCTTACACAAAATAAATAAATAAATATTTATTCATTTGGCTCAGTTGGTTAAGCATACGACTCTTGGTTTCAGCTCAGGTCATGATCTCACGGTTTGTGAGATCAAGACCCATGTTGGGCTCCGTACTGACAGTCTGCCTGGGATTCTCTCCCTCTCTCTCTCTGCCCTTCCCCCACTCTCTGTCTCTCAAAATAAATAAACTTAAAAAAAATTATGTATTTTTTTAATTTACCAAATATTTGGCCTTAGTATTATCTGGAAGACTTTTCTTACTGTTTCTCTTTTCCTATTTCTCTTCTGAAAAATGTCTGTCATACTTATTATTGTTAAAAAGACATCTTAAAATTCCCTAACTTGTTCTGGAATTTGTATTCTATGAAACTTCCACTTAGGTCACAGAGAATTAATAACCATTAATGGCAATATTTGAAAAGTATGTAAAAACCAAAATAAGATGTCCTAAACCCCAAACAAAAATTCCAAAACTCTTCTGAGTTTGTTAAAAAGAAATGGCTTAAACCCACTGATTTTTTTTTTTTTTTGTAATGTTTATTTATTTTTGAGAGAGAGAGGTGCAGAAGCAGGGGAGAGGCAGAGAGAGATGGGGACAGAGGATCTGAAGCAGGTTCTGTGGGAGCCTGATGCAGAGCTCGAACTCAGGAAACTTGAGATCATGACCTGAGCTGAAGACAGACACTTAACCGATTGAGCCACCCAGGCACCCCCTAAACCCACCATATCTTTGTAAGAACAGAACAAAAAGTCTCCTCTTTGCTGCAAAACTCGTACCACTTACATGCCAAAAAAAAAAAAAAGTTAAAAGTAAACTACAAGCAAAATGGTTGTTTCTTGATAAATATCAGAGAAAAAAACACTGAGTTTAATAAATTCACATTTTGTTTGTCAAGAGGAAAGCAATTTTGTTCATATCAACTCACATATAAAAATAGGTTTGTTCACTAGGTAGGTCTTAGAAGATCAAAGTCTGAAAAAGCCAACAATATGATATGAAATGCAAATTTAGTATATAAATAAACTATCACACAGAACTTATTTTTTTAAACTACTTACACTATAAAAGTTTGCACAGCACTAGTTTGTCACATCTGTTTTCCTTTTGATAACCCAACATTTTCTTGCATATAAACTTTAAGTATCAACGTATACAGAACCAGAGTTTCAAATGGTCATAACATTTGGTCCTCTCCATAACCTAACACTGACTTTCAGGGCTCAGTGATGATCTGGAAGAGGTCCTAAGCACTAAGATTATGGTACATGAGACCTGCCTCTCTCTCTTTTCTTTCCCCTGCTGTGACCAACATATTAACATTTTAGAGCAAAATTAAGAATGGGGTGGCTGGGTAGTTCAGTCAGTTAAGCATCCAACTCTTGATCTCAGCTCAGGTCTTGATCTCAGGGTCATGAGTTGAAGCCCAGCACTGGGCTCCATGCTGGGCATGGAGCCTACTTTAAAAAAAAACAAAAAAAAGTAAGTAAATGTGAGTCCTAATTCTCCATAATGATGATTTTGATGTTGTTTTTCAAATAATAAATTCCAACAAACCAAGCCAAATATAGAATTAAATTATTAGCCATCCCAAAATCCTTTCCATTATCCCTCAAAGAAGGTTAATGCATATCTGTCACTTATAATAAAATGCTAATAAAGTTAAAGCTAATAGACTGAGAATGAAAGAAAAGCAAGATAACACGCAAGCCATTTATATTCCAGCATCATCCTAAGCTTTTAATCACATTTAAGTGCACTCCTCAAAAAGCATATTAAAACTGGACATGTACTCTACCCTCCCTTAAATCAGAGGCTGGCCTAACTCTGACCAAAAGAGTGCTGCTGTGTGAGTTCCAAGGCAAAGTCTCAAAAGATCCTGTTGCTCCCACTCTTGCCCTCAGACCCCTGCCACTAAGTGACCAAACCACACAGGAGAGAACTGAGGTTTCAACCAACAGCTGCAACCACTCAACATGCAGACACCCAGAAAACCCAGCCCCAACCTAGACCAGTTTCTGCAGCCCTATGAGTGAGCCTAGAACTCCCTATCTCAGCACAGCCTAAAATGACAACCCCCAGGATCGTGAACTCGCACACAGTTTTTGTTTTAAGCCTTTAGAGTTTGGGTTGGTTTGTTACACAGCAAACACTGATGATATACCATCCAACTCACTGATTCAACCCAAATGGACTATTTTATTCAATATCCTAAAAAAGACCCATTACTATTTCAATCTCCATTTCGTGCCCACATTCTATTTAAAATTATTTGATTTTTGCATGTATAATCTCAAGTGCTTCTCTTGAATTAATATTCAGTCCTCTGAATATACACAGTTTACCTTTTCTAATAAACTCAGTTCCATTCCTACCTCATTCACTAAGACATTCATTCTCCTACCTTCAACCTAAACTGATTTTTCTTTCTGTCTTTATATGCATATTCACAGTACTTTACTTTCTGCTCTCTTTATTATCCAATTGGCACTTAGCACATACTATGCAAGGGTTTTTTTCCTTTATAAGCTTTCTTGCAAAGTTGATTTAGATAGCCTCCATGGTTTTTGTCATATGATCTAGATGTTGATGAGCTTATCTTCTTCCCATAATACGTTGTATTAAGTGAATTCTAAAAACTCATGTCCCAATTTAAATCATTAGGCTCCAAAACAATTAAAAGAAATTGTGGATACCCTTATCTTCTGTTGTAGTTCCTTGCACGCTAGCAGAAAAAGAACAGATTATAAATTTGATCAATTTTATAAAGGTTGAAAAAGAGTACTAAATCCCCCATAAATTGTTCCTGTTACTTGAAGATCTTCTTTCCATAGCTATTATAATTTGTTACCTGCACTTAATTTGGATATTAATACTTTATGTATTAAGATAAGAACAAGCTAAGTGTACTCCAGAATGAAAATTCCATTCCAAAATGAATCAAGACATAGCCCAAAAATATGGAAGGAACAATATATAAGAGAGTGAAGTTTTGCTATTAATTATTAAACTTTCAGGTTATTCAGTGCTTTTAGAGGTTTTTTTTTTTTTAATTTTTGTTTCAACATTTTTATTTATTTTGGGGACAGAGAGAGACAGAGCATGAACGGGGGAGGGGCAGAGAGAGAGAGAGGGAGACACAGAATCGGAAACAGGCTCCAGGCTCCGAGCCATCAGCCCAGAGCCTGACGCGGGGCTCGAACTCACGGACCGCGAGATCGTGACCTGGCTGAAGTCGGACGCTTAACCGACTGCGCCACCCAGGCGCCCCTAGAGTTTTTATTTTATAAAAATAAAAAAAAAGAGTTACTCTCTCCCTCTCTCTGTCCCTCCCACACTCACTCAAGCTCTCTCTCAAAAGTAAACTTAAAAAAAAAAATTACAAAGTTCAATGACATCAAACATCTAAATGTGTATAATGTTCAAGTCCTCCTAACCATACTCTGTACTTCTATTGCACAGTCATTAGAATAAAATGCAACTTAGTTTTTCATGACAGTATCTTTCATTCTCTTGTTTGACACATAAAAAGTATTTTTATCTTAAAAGACTACCTCAGGAAACAGTTACATATGTATTAAAATGATCTGGAAAGATATATACCAAACTCTTAACAGCAGTTATTGTTTCAAAACTGAGATTTTAAGAAGGGTGATTGCCCATTTCTGCTTTACACTGACATTCTCTTAATGTGTATGCTGCTAAAAAACTTTTTTAAACAGCTCTTTAAATGGCTTTCAGGGGCGCCTGGGTGGCGCAGTCGGTTAAGCGTCCGACTTCAGCCAGGTCACGATCTCACGGTCCATGAGTTCGAGCCCCGCGTCGGGCTCTGGGCTGATGGCTCAGAGCCTGGAGCCTGTTTCCAATTCTGTGTCTCCCTCTCTCTCTGCCCCTCCCCCGTTCATGCTCTGTCTCTCTCTGTCCCAAAAATAAATAAATAAACGTTGAAAAAAAATAAATAAATAAATAAATAAATGGCTTTCAGTATTTTTTTCCAAAAAAATGCTTAAAGCATTCAACTGCTCTTCAATGTGTTGCACTAGAAATGAATTAAAATCTCAAGATTGTACAAAACAGTTATTGGGTTTCCTAGCAACACTGAAGGGTCCTCTTTGCACAGAGGCATAGTTTTTCAAGTGTTGAAGTATGCAACAGTCACAAATTAATACAAGACAAAAGGCAGACACTTGGTCCCATGCCGTGTCTCCGGGGATTCTTTCCTAATATGTGCTGCCCAATTCTATTTATGCAGCAAATTGAGCGATAATTTAACTTACAAACTACTTGCAGGTTCAAACATGGTCTGAAAACTGAATCAAATAACAAATCTTATGATGTTATTCAAACTTATATTCAGTGTGATTAAATGCATAGAAGAACATTATCAACCACAAGTATTCGCTGAATCCAGTGAGTAAGTGCTCAGCACTGGATTATATAA